AGAGAGAGAGAGAGAGAGAGAGAGAGAGAGAGAGAGAGAGAGGAGAGGTTTCATTGTGCATTTTAATGGACATTTCCTTAATCACTAAGAAAGATGAACATCTCTTATTTGTTAAGTTTTCACCTAGTTAAGTGATGATCTTGTTTTCCTGTTGGGTTTTCTATCTTTTCTTAATTTATTCTTTATTCTGGATATGAGACTTTTGGTCATAAATGTATATATTATGAATTACAAATCACTTTTTCCATTCTATAACTGCCTTTTTTAGCCTTTTAGTGGTATCTTTTGATGACTAGATAGCCTTACTTTCAATAAAGTCCAATTATCCTTCCCCCACCTATGATGAGTACTTTTTTGTCTCTTATTTAGGAAATCTGTTTTTATCCCCAGGTTATGAAAGTCATTTTTAATGCTTTCTTCTAATTAGCTCTATGATTCAGCTAGAACTGGCTTTTGCATCTGATGTGATCTAGGGCATCATGGCTCTTTGTTTATCCTTCCCACACAGCTGTCCAGTTGGCCTAGCCACATTTATTGTGAAAATCATCCTTCTCCCACAGAATTGCAGGCTCACTTTTATTGTAAATGTAGTGGCTGTGTATTTGTAGTTATGTTTCTGGCCACTCTGTTCTGGTCAATTGACTTATTTTTCTGCCTTTCTGTAATTATTGTGTTGACTTAACTATTGATTTTGGTAAATTTTGTAGTAAGCCCTGCTGTCTGGGAGCCCAAGGCCTCCAGTTCTGTTGTTTTAAAAATGACCTTGACTCAGAGGGGGGACTGTTAGAGTAGCAAGAACCCCCGCCCCCCAAAAAAAGAAAGAGTACACGAAGTTGTCAGAAAAAGTGATGGGGAGATATAGGAAGAGTTGGAGGGAAGGGAGTGGGCATGGATCAAAACATATGCATGTATGAAAGTCTCAATAATTTTTTTAAGTTAAAAAAATGAACCTTGGCTACTTTTTGTCCTTCGCATATTCCTATAGAATCTTTTAGTCTTTTAAAAATTAGTTATAGGGGCTGGAGAAATGGCTCAGCAATTAAGAACACTGGCTGCTCTTGCAGAGAACCTAGGTTCGATTCCCAGCACCCACATGGTGGCTAACAGCTGTCTATAACTGTAGTTCCAGGGGAATCCGATGTCTTCTTCTGACCTCCAAGAGCACTGCATGACACGGTGCACCTACCTACATGCAGGCAATGTACTCATACACATAATATAAAAATAATAAATAAAATATTTTTTAAATTAGTCATAATTTTAACTGGATAATTATTTTGAATTTTTCTGAAAACTTACCATCTCTGTTATTTGTAATGATATAATGTGGTTTTATTTGTGATAATGAAAAATTATTATTATTATTATTATGATTGGTGTTTTTGAGACAGGGTCTCCCTGTAGCCCCAGCTGTACTGGAACTCACTATGTAGACCAGGCTGGCCTTGAACTTACAGAGATCTGCCTGCCTCTGCCTCCCGAGTGCTGGGATTAAAGGCATGTGCCACCACGCCCAGCTTTATTTATTATTTTTATTTTATGTGTGTGAGTGTATTGCCTGCATATAGGTAAGTGAACCCATGTTGTGCAATGCCTGCAGAGGACAGAGGAGGCCATCATATCCCTTGGAACTGGAGTTGTAAGCAACCAGTGTTCTTAATCACTGAGCCATCTCTCCAGCCCCTGTGATAATTTTTTAACCCTCATTTATTAAGCAGTAGAATATAAAAAGAAAACGTATTTATATTTGCTTTGTTTCACAAATATATACAAAAGAATATAAGCAGGGGGCTGGAGAAGTGGCTCAGTGGTTAAGAGCACTGACTGTTCTTGCAGAGGACCCAGGTTCTATTCCGCACCCACATGGTTTGGTTGACAACTGTCTGTAACTCTGTTGGAGGGGGTTCTGATGCCTTCTTCTGACCTCTGCAGGCATTGCATGACATGGGTACACTTACACACAGGCAGGCAATACATGTAAAATAAAAGTAATTAAAAAATAATAAAATATATTTTTTAAAAAGTAGGTACAGGCCGGGCGTGGTGGCACACACCTTTAATCCCAGCACTTGACTTGGGAGGCAGAGGCAGGTGGATCTCTGTGAATTCAAGGCTAGCCTGGTCTACATAGTGAGTTCCAGGCCAGCTGGGGCTACAGGGAGACCCTGTCTCAAAAAGACCAAAAAAAAAAAAAAAAGTAGGTACAGTTGGAAAGAAAATAAGAGTAAGAATGTAAAGTATCTGAGCATGTAATCCCAGCACTTGGGAGGCTGAGGCAGGAGGATTGTGCATTTGAGGGCAGCTGGGCAATGTAGTAAGACCCTGTCTCAAAAAACAATCAGCCAGCCAACCAACCAATGAAACCAAACAAAATGACAGTGGAGCAGCCCAACAACATGAACAACAACAAAGAAGAATATAAAATAAAATTTAATGTAGGTTTGCTTTTGGCGGGGGCAGAGTTCGGGCAGAAACTTTGGCATCCAATTTTACTCAAATCAAAACAAAGATAATTAGTTATGATTCACAGGACTCAATATGAAAGCAGCACAATTATTTTAAAGGAGAGTTTTTCCTAGTACTGAGAACTGAGGGTGTATTTTCCTCAGTTGAATTTTAAGGGAAATAACATTATTCAGCAATGCTTTGGGTAACATTTCCAATATAATTCCAAAGCCCAGTTCATCCAGACAGTTTTATCAAATCAATAATATAGAACCAAATGTGTGTTTTTCTGTTAGTCTTGACTTGATCCAAGGATAATGTGCTTCTTTTTTATTAAGAAAAAAAGATACAGCTGGGCATGGTTGTGCACGCCTTTAATCCCTTTAATCCCAGGCAGAGGTAGGCAGATCTCTGTGAGAGTGAGGCTAGCCTGGTCTGCATAGCAAGTTCTAGGCCAGCTGTGGCAGGGAGGCCTTGTCTCAAAATAAAACTAAACAAAAAGATACGTATCAAATCACTGTGAATGAATAATAGAATGTTTTCTTTGGCAAGAACCTGTGTTTTTCATTTAGGTATGTCTGTATACTTTGATAGGCAGCAGAGCAGAGGTTATATGCATTTACAGTATTCTTTATTACCAAGTAATAATACTGTCTGCCAGGCAGTATAATAAGTGCTTTTATTTGCATTGTAAGATTGAATGCTCAGAACAGTCCCGTGGAGAGGGCTCTGGTTATCACTTCTTCACTGGTGCAGAAGTGAAGGCAAGTGTCTTACCAAAATTACAAGTAAACAGCAGAATCAGGGATCAGTTTTTGAGTTTGGCCTCATTTTCTGCTACATTATATTATTGATAAGAACCTTAATTATATTATATTATTGATAAGAACTGGAATCTGGCAGCTAGGATTTGGACAGAGTTACAGTATTTTCTTAGGAAACACATTTCTAAGTCTAATCCTATACAAATGAAGAAAAGTAGATGGTACTTGAACAAAAATTTTGTGTGTGAGATAAAAAATTTTACATTTCCTTTAACGTGTTTTTCATATTTATTCTTAAGTAAACTCCTATCTTCTGAATAACTACTTTTGAATAGTTTTATTATCTTGGATATTGTCACTTTTCCTTTTTTTTGTAATGAATACTCAATTATCAAGAGAAACCAAATGGGAGTGTTTCTCTGGGTTCCCTCCTACTCTCTGGAGCTCTGTCTCACTTTTCCTTTATAAATCTATATCGGGAGAGAGAAAGAGAAGCGGGGGGGGGGGAGCTCAAATGGCTTCAGTTCTCTTAAAGGACTGAAACTTAAGACAAATTAATGATTTCTGTAAGTACTTGTGGGCATATCTCTTTAGTTTATATTTTCATAGTTTTCAAGCATTTTTTCACAACTTTAATATGATCCTTTTGAAATTATTTAATGAAAAGTAAAGAAAAAATTTGAATATGTTTTGCAGCTGGCATACCTGAAATGAATGAAAATTTGTGGAAGTAATTTTATTATTTTATGGTATTTATACTTTTGTTAGAATTCTTGCATTTTAAAGTTTGCTTGTGTACATTGGTTGTAATTAATGTTTTGTTATAATTAATTAATGTTTGAAACTAATTTCCCAAATAAGGAGTAATTTTATAGGAGTACCTCTATACCTAGTATTAGGACTCTAAATAAAATTGATTAAAATTGTTTGCATTTTTCTATGTTAATTTTTAGGTTGAAGGTTTGGAACAGATGTGGAAAGATGTTTACTACAGAGAAAGGGGTTGTGGAAGAATGGTTGTCAGAGTTTAAGGTAATATTAACTCTTCTAATAGTAATTTTATTACAAAGAATGCTTGGTTGTCTGGGTTTAAATTCTAGTGACTTTAAAATTTTTATGTGACTAAAATATTAAATAGCTGTAGAAGAATGTTCTAATATATCTTAGTAGGAAACTATTTATGTATAGTAATTTTTACAGAAAATTAATTCCTTTTTCCCTAAGTGGTTTAAAGAGCTTATTCATTTATTTATTTTCTGTCATGTGACACCACTGGTTATAATGTTGATGTCAACCTCCAGTGGTCAGTCAATGATTCATTGTCAGAAATGGAGTGGGAGACAAAAAGAAGACAGCAAGATACTTGCCCAGCCTTCTACCAGGAGTCTTTCTCTTGGTAGCTAACCTAGGTGCTGTGTTAGGATAATAAAACTTAGGCGTCATTTTTTTTTTTTTTTTTTTTTTGGTCTCAGGAGTTCTGCTTTATGATAACTGAAACTGAGTTCCTTAAATAAGCAAATTCCTTCATCCTCTCCTGTGACATATAATTATGTGAATTTCATTATTCTAAACCACAGATTTGAAGAAATTGGGCAACAAATGTCATTTTTATTTTGTCTAGACAAATCAGCCCAAAACTTCAGAGATAAATGAACAGTATGATTGTGCCAGGCTTCTTGGCTTCCTTGGGGCCCCCCAAAAAGGGGGAAAAAGGGAAAAACCAAAAAAAAAAAAAAAAAAAAAAAAGAAAAGATAAAATTTGGATGAAGGGTATTTTGGATGAAATTTTTTTAAAATTTAAATTTTATTTATTTTATGTGTATGAGTGTTATGCCTGCCTACATGCATGTAAGTGCACCCATGTCATGTAGTGCCCATGGAGGACAGAAGAGGGCATCAAATCCCATGGAACTGGAGTTACAGTTAGCTGCCATGTTGGTGCTGGAATTTGAACCTGGGTCTTCTACAACAACAGCCAGTGCTCTTAACCCCTTAGCCATCTCTCCAGCCCCCAAAGCTGTATTTTAATAGGCTTAAAACAAAGTAGGGCTGTGTATAATGGGGTTAACGCCTAATTTGGACTTCAGAGTGGATTCAGGATCTTGTTGTCATGAAAATTATGTTAACATAGATTTGGAAGGCGTTCAAACCTCTTTATCTGAAGCTTTGCACCTGTGATGGAACTCAAGACTGCTTCTCCATGTCAGTGACTTAAACACTTAGGCAAGAAGAAAAGATCTCATTCTTAGTGATATAAGTTCAAATAACAAAATTTGGATTTCTTATGAATTTAGATAAGGCTTATCAGTGAATAAGAATACAATAATTGGGCTGGAGAGATGGCTCAGCAGTTAAGGACACTGGCTGTTCTTGCAGAAGACCTGGGTTCGAATCTCAGCACCCACATGGCAGCTAACAACTGTTTGTAACTCCAGTTCCAGGGAATCCAATGGCCTCTTCTGTCCTCCATGGGAATTTCATAACACGGGTGCACTTACCTACATGTAGGCAATACACGCATACACATAAAATAAAATAAAAAAATAACAAATTGAAAAAAAAAAGAATACAATAATCACTCAAAAAAGGAGATGCTACAACATTTTAGTTTCTGTGTGTCCTTCAGAGAAGTAATGTTTCCTCTTAATTTTGAAGTTGGTCTTTGCTTCTGTATCTAATCATGATCAATGGCTGGATAGGTTTTTTTTTTTACTTTCTTAGCTTTTATTGTCATGAACTGAGTATCCTTCTCTGGATTTCCTGTCATCATGAAGCAATATAATATACTATATATAGTGTTTCCTACATATTTTAATAGTGTGATTAAGTTTTGTATGTGCTTTACCCCCATCACTTGTTATCTTTGTAAATAATCATTCAAGGAGTTTTTAAGCTTTTTTCTGCTTCAAAAGTAGTTATGATATATTTTGCTATGCATTATGATTTTGCAGGGAGCACAGGTTGACAGAAATTTTCTGATTTAACAGTGCCATTTCTTTTAGACCATTCTTATGTTTAATAGTGAAGTCAGTTTGGAAGAGCAAATATAGCAAGCTGCCAATTCTTTAAGATGGAAGCTGTGTAAAGAGGGTATGCTAAATAGTGGGCTGTTAATGGAAGGATCAACCATGAAATCACAATGCCCATTTTTTTTTTTATTCTTCCCCATCCTGCTGTAGCATGTGGATACCTAGGAATTGCACTAGGGAGTACAGCGGGGCAGGGCACCAGTACTGGTAGTGGTGTGCCCTGCTTGATAGAGCAGAGTAGCTGGTTGCAGAGGTGGCTTATCCAAGAGCTAGTTGAAGAGACTGCATTGGTAGATTAGCAAATAAATATTTTAAAGATAGGGGCATTAGGTTTCCCTCTCAGAAAGGAATTGCATACCTGGAATGGGGGATGTCACTAGGAAGTTGAAGGAGTTAGATCAGAATAAAAAAAAACCAATGTAAACCATGGGTTCTGTAGACGCATCGGATATGCATATGCATACATACATTTCCTGGCATGGTTCACAGACTGGCAGTGGCACCCAAGCAGCAGGAGTGTGCCAAGCATATAGGTCTTGTTTTCTAAAAACTATCTTTCACTAAAAGAAACTATGATATGAGTACATAAAGTTTTTATTTAAGTAATATTTTTTCTTTTCACTCAGAACATTGTCTAGACCATGTAGAAGAGACATAATATTTTCTCAATAAGTCATATAATTGCTATTTGGTAGCAACATTTTGTGAAAGTTTAATGTGAAGGTAAGGACATTTTTTCATTGGGGGGAAGCGGTGAAGAAAACATAGTCTTCTTGGGAGCAAAAAGTAACTTTACCCCCTCAAAATTAAATTTACCAAATTTCAATCAATTTGCTATCACAGATGTTTTACATTATCTTCAAGTTTATGTTATAACCAACGCAAAGAAAGGAATATCCTATCCCTCACTTATTTTGGTAGGCATTTCTGAATGCCTTAATGTGTGTTATGTTTAGCTATGTGTTTGATAAAGAGAACAAGATTATCAGGCCTAATCAGCAGCATACCAAAGGTAACACCAGGTAGAAAAATGCTTGGAAACAAATATGTACTCAGGGGGCTGGAGAGGTGACTTAGTGGTTAAGAACACTGTTCTTGCAGAAGACCCGGGTTTGAATCCCAGCACCCACATGGCAGCTAACAACTGTCCATAACTCCAGTCCCAGGGGATCTGACAGCCTCTTCTGACCTCCATGGGCATTACACGACATGGGTGCACTTTCCTACATGCAGGCAATACATGCATACACATAAAATAAAAATAATACATAAAACACATACTCTTGAAATGTTAAATTATATTTTAGTCAAATGTTTTTTATAGTCCCTCTTATTTATTATAGAAAAATTTCCATTATATTCTCCTTAACATTTGGTGGGTTGGGTTTTTTTTGTGGTTGTTTGTTTTTGTTTTGTTTTGTTTTTGGATTTGATTTGTTTTTAAGAAAATTCTGTTTGGGTGTTTAGTGATAACCTTGGCAAGATTATCATCATTGATTGGGTGGACTGAGAGTCAGCAACCCATTGATTGAATCCCAGTTCTCCTACTAGATCTTTTTATTGAATAAATCTTAATGACTTGGAACTGGAGAAATGGCTCAGGGATTAAGAGCACTGACTGCTCGTGCAGAGGACCTGGGTTTGATTCCCAGCACCCACATGGCGGCTAACAACCGTACTAACTCCAGTTCCAGGGGATCCAATGCCCTCTTCTGACCTCCATGGTGTTGCATGACACAGGTGCTCTTACATACATGCAGACAATACACTCATACACATAAAATAAAAATAACTCAATCAGTATCATTAGAAAAATTGAAGGAGGTGGTCTGTCAATGTAGCAGTAGCTCTACATGGTCATAATTTGAACTCCTAACTTCATAATTTTACTTAGCAATTTCTCAAAAGCACAGAGACAATGCAGTTTGCTTTGTGTAAGTCTTTTATATAAAAAGCTTACAAAGCCAATAAATAAATGTAAAAAACATTTTTTAGGGACTTGAAAATAGCTCGTTGGGAACAGACACTTGCCACCAAGCCTTGATGACCCAAGTTCAGTCCCTGGAAGGAAAGACCAACTCCTGCAATTTGTCCTCTGATAAACACACACAAATACACACACACACACACACACACATTAAATAAATGTAAAATTTGAAATTTTTGAAAAATATTTGTTGCCTTTAGATAAACATTTAGTTTTTGCTTTAGCTATTCTGTCAGTAGTATTTTCTTTATATACTAACAAAGTGATTAAACTGGGATTCATTTTAAGATTTCATGTATATTCAATACTTTCAATGACTGTAAAATATCTTTAAGATTGCAATTTTTCTTAATGCTATATATGTACATATATATTATCTAACACATTCCAGACTCCTGTTTGTTTTTTTTTAAATTTCTGATAGCCATTGAATCTCAGTATGTGACTCAAAAATCCATTCTCATGTGATGTTGTTGAACAGAGCTTTTTTATTTATTGGTTCTTCACCCATCTGCCCATCTTCATTAAATCTCTTTCATCCAACCCATATCACCTTCTTACGTTTTTTAAGCCATCTGCCAAATGGTACGTTAGTATGAAGCATCTGTTTTCTTTAAAATTTGCCAAGAATAATTTCAGCATGATTCCTTCTTATTTTTCATCTCCATTTCTGCCTGTAACATGAGAAACCTTAGCTGGCGATAGAGAAGGGCAGCACCTTTAAGCTGGTGTACATTAAGACAATGTAAATGCTTGCTGTAACAGTACTTAGGTTCATCTGGCCCTTTCAGATCTTAAGTTTTTCACAGTATCGTTTGTAAGCATAGTCGTTAATACCCCCCCACTTCTACAGAAAAGTGACTTTCCCACATTCATAAAACGAGGTAGTGACAGAGTGATGAGCTAAGTGTTGTCACTGCACTAGTTTTGAAGATACTCTTTTTCCATTTAATAGTAGTAGCCCAGGGCAGGGTATTTTTCAGAGCTTGACTTTTTAGAGAGGAGCTGTTCTTTTG